AACCGTGAAAACCTCATTCAACAAATCATAATTTTTTATTTTGTTCATTTTTTTGTAATTATGAGAGATTGATTAACCATTTTTATTGTGAAGTGTGTTAATCATGGATATTATCATCTTCATTATTTTAATTTTAGAGAAATACATGAAACAGTTTCATTAATTCATTAAATATTATATGAAACAACTTCATAACCATATATGAAACAAATTCATCAAAAAAAGTATTATATGAAAAAATTTCACAAGATTAAACAATTTCATGAAAAAATTTCATAAGATTAAACAATGAAATCGACGTATGAGGGTGGTTTGTACGGTTTTTACAAATGAGGGTGGTTTGTACGGTTTTTACAAATGAGGGTGGTTTTCATTTGATCGCTCATCTCCCTCTCTCTCTCTCTCTCTCTCTCTCTATATATATATATATATAATATTTTGATGAATATTAAAATAAAAAGCTAAAAAAAAGGCAACATTAGCATATGATCTGTTGATTTTTTTTTTAAATGACAAGATTTGTTAAGAACACTTAACCGCAGGGATAAAGACAGTCATATAAATGCATTATCCATTTTATTTCCAAAACATTAGAGTTAGACTCGTGGATAAAATTGTGCAAACAAAGTCTAACTACAACGATTGAGCCATTCTAGCTCTTGATGATCTCCTTGTTAGAGATTGAAATTTGGGAACCATTGAGGAGACCGAACAGATTCAAGACTTATGGGGATCGAGGGTTGATTTGGATCACTTCATCCAGACCGGTTAGGCAATTTTGGAAGAGGGTTTAAGGGAAAGATGAAAATCTTATAGATATTTTTCTTTTAAATTATTTTATCATGTTCTAAACGTTTTTCCTGTAAACATCCTATAATACCATATTCAAATACAACTCACAGTAAAGAGGCAACAATTTAACCACATGGGTGGTCTCTGATTGGTTTGAGCTTAAATTCAAAGGTCAAAAGTACTAGGAGGTCCCAGGTTCAAATCCAAGGAGAAATAAAAATCCCCTTGTGGCCATGGAGGTTCAAATGCGGTGACTCCGGGCTATTTGCAAAGCACGTGGCCTCCCTGGAATTAGTCGGCTCGCATAACGAGTTGGATATTCAGGTTAATAAAAAAAAAACAACAATTTAAAGTTTTTGATCCTAGAAATTATCAAAAACCAAATTGTATTATATATATGATAAAGACACAAGAATTAGTTTTAAAAAGGGACCGATTAAGTTGGTGTTTTGTTCGCAGCTTTTTGGAGGAATAGAATAGGTTTAAAAAATGGAATATGAACAAAATGGAATAAAATTTAGTCAGGTTTTCAATCATGTGTTTGATTGACAGAAACTTAAATCGAATCTAATACTAAAACTAGAGTGGCCACCGCACGTTGCGTGGTAGCAATACAGTTTTTAAGAAAGCCTATTGGACCTAGTTAAGATATAACGTAAATCGGTTAATAATTAGTAAATATAATGTAAAACAATGAATATATTTCTTTAAGCAGTTAATTTGCATATGCTGATAGTTATTTGTTGTTACAAAGAGTTTGAGATACACCGTTAACAAAATAAGTTTGAGATAGATTGATAATAATTTTGGTTAATGCTATTTAGGACTCAAACCAATATCCATATCACTATTAATGTTACAAAGAGTTTGGAGATCTGTTTCTTCCAAAAAAAAGGTCTCCTAAGATTAGAGTTGACTGAAAGAACCACTTCTCTTGTCAATATATCATCACATCTTCTTACAAATTTGGGATAACCAAACTCACGACATTTCAAAATCTAATAAATATTTCATTCTCGTGATATTATCTCGTCACTTATGATTGTTATTTTAATATAAAATAAATTTTGAAAATAGTTTTTTTTTGTTCTGCTCTGAATAAAATTTTAATTTTACTAAATTATCACGTCAAGGAAATACAAAGCAAATAATTTAAGTTAAATAACAATACATGACATAAAAACAAAACTGATAAAAAGCATTGAAGTTACTACGACCAAACACGAACATATAAGTTATGGAAGAAATTATTGAACTCTAATGGACTACTAATGAAATGATTTCAAATTGAGAGAAATAAAAAACCAGAAAATTACTCTTATTAGAATAACTTCAATCATCATGTTGATCATCTCTCTCATTGATTTGATGATGATCCCTTTTATCTATCAAAGTATATTGTTTCTGTTATTCAGTTTCAACGATCTTCGTTGAGTCTGTTCAGTGATCTTCGAACGCGCATTCTAATTCGTTTAGAGACTGCTATATACTTGAAGAAGACAAAACTCATACGACTGGTCATTCAGCAATGTCGAAGACAGGAGCTGAAGATTAGAGACAACAAGTTCATAATCTGAAGCGGTATTTAGTGATTACAAGCTCGTCTACATATGTGTGAAGACTGTGCAAGTTTCAGCGAACACTGAAGAAACCTTTCAGCGTCATCCCAGTGTTTAGTGATCAAATGAAGCTTGTCGAGTAAGATTGTTTTTGTCTTATCCTCTCTCACACAAAGGACAAACCCATCCTTTTCTAAAATATAGTATAGTACGGAGCCACTCCGTTGACTTTAATATGCTTACCTACTTTATGAAAGATAACTGTTCACATACGGCCAAAAGCCTGCAATATCTGAACAAAGGACAAGCTTTACTCCAAGAGCTTGACATGTGCTTTATACCTTCTGAATTGCATTTAATGCAATGAGTATAAATAGCTGAGTGGTTCTCCTCTCAGTTATTAATCTTCCTCGCTAAGAACTTACTCATTAGTTCTTCGGTCTTTAGCCAACCATGATTAGTTATTGCTTACAACAATCGGTAAACCTATAATATTACGAATGCTATTGCTTTTATACATTGCATTGTATGATTCCTCAAGAATATATGATATTATATTTCATTCAGCAATTAATAAAGTACTTTTATTTTATTTGGTACTATTTAACCGTATTACAAATGTAGTTACATCACTTCTTTTATTGTGATTGCACATCTAATTATTTACATGACTATATGTACATGAATTTATTTTAAAAAATCTGGAAAATAAGTGTTACAAGCTAAATTAAAAAGATTACTTTTGCATACACCTACGATAGTGCTCAATATTAAACATACAATACTTACGAGTTGTGGCTAACAATTTTTATACAAATTAAACTTCAATATTTAATCATTGTTTTGTCAAAATATAAAATGTATGAAGTTCTTTAGTTACAAGAAACGATATCAATGGAAAAAAAATTGCATAAAGAACACACCAATGCAATCATCGTCTTATATTACAATTTATTATGAAATTACGTTTCACCTGAATTTGATTACGTATTTTCTAACAAACAAATTTCATCATTGTGCAACACGGGGTGTGTGAAATAAGAACCAAAGGGCTGTTCGATGAAAACTTTTGTATCATATTTATCTTTATTATTCTTTTTATTTATTTATTTATTTTTAGTATACAATCAACACATTAATTGCTAAACTTTTCATTTTTCTACTTTTTTAACTTTTTTTATGTAAATGAAATTTGAATCCACAAATACGTAAAACTACATATAGTTTTTATTTTATATCAATAAATGTATATTTTTAATTACATGACAATCGAAAAAATAAATCATCAAAATCAATCAACATATACCAAGATACATTACAATATCTCAATCAATCAATATATCAATATAGAATTAAAAATATATTAAATTAAGAACCAAGAGGCGATTCAATGAGAAATTTCAATCATATTTATCTTTTTTTTCTTTATAAATGAAATTAGAATGCACATACATTTATTTTTATAAATTTATTATTTACTTAAATAATAAATCATCAAAAATCAATCAAAATATATATATATATATATAAATATATATATATATATATCAAAAAATTACAATCGATCAATATATTAATATATTTAAAATATATTAAAATAAGACCAAGGGGTGGTTTAATAAAAAAATTCAATCATATTTATCTTTTTTAAATGAAATTAGAATCCACAAATATATAAAATACATATATTTTTATTTATATTAATACATACATAGATGAATGTTCAAACGAGAACGCTAACTATTTAAGAAAACAAGAAAAAAGTCGTCAATGTACAAAATCACATGTGATTTTACATTAAATGGAAACGAGCAACTTTGGAGCCACTTAAGTCACAGGGTAAAGTCGCCAGGATCATGTATGATTTGTTACGTGAATCATATACGATTTTGTACATTTTTAATAATGCAATTATATGATGAAATTACTTGAAGAAGTTTAAAGGTCTTCACTAATTTCTTAAGGTGCAACATGTGTTGGCTCTCTCCATCTTGCATATAAAAGAAAACCATGATTGTTGACATCAATTGCAACCGTCGAAGTTCTTAAATCTTGACATACAAGACACTTACGCTTCTCACTCCACTAAGTAATCTTTCTGCTTTCTAAGGTTAGTTATGTATAATAGAAATATTTTTTGACTTTTCTTTAATTTACTTGCTTTATATGTGTTAAAACTATATATTTTAGGTTGATTTTTTTAATGATATTCTTGATAGTTTTTTTTTTCTTCTTATGCCACGATTTTTATGAGTTATCTTTTGGTTGCACAAATATTCATTGCTCAAATTATTGTAAATCCAAACAGCCATACATAATCCTTTTTACAACAAAGCAAGAAAACGAAAAGTTGAAATTAGATTTCTGCAATGTCTAAAGATTGACTCATTGTTTATTTTAAGTTTTCCAATATGATTCTTTTTTGCTTCTTTCAATTGATTTTCTTACATCAATTGAAGTTGAAATATTTGAAAGAGACATATCCTTATGTGGAATATATTTTTTTTTTTTTTGAGTTATATCAGATTTCTTAATATCTCCGTTGTTATTATTATTCATTTTATTTCATTTTATAACTTTATTCCTAAACAAATCTCTCTCTCTCTCTCTCTCTATATATATATATATGTGTGTGTATATATATACATATATTAAAATTTCACTAACTTTTTGAATTATTTAAATATTATTTGTTAATGATTCTTTTAACGACTAATATATATTTATATAAGGGATGTTTGGGATTGTTTATTTGAAATAACTTATGTTTTTCTACAAAAGTACTTATCAACTTATAATAAGTTAGAAGGGTTTAACTTCTTTAAAAACTCTTTATTACCGGATTGACACCGATATAAATTATTTATTTAAATATTCAAAAGTGCTTATTACCGATGATCAATAAATTAATTTTATAAGTAATTGGGAATATCCTCCTATCATTAATCAAAATTATGATGCCATCGCACACTAGTAGTGTTTTATTCTGAAACTTGAGTGGTTGAAACAACAGCTTCCTTCACACAACCACAGAATCGCATCTGAGTGACCGACCATCCAAGAAATTCTCCTTTCTGACTACTTTCGTTCCTTCTACTAATCAATCCTTTCTGCTAATTTTCTTGGAGAAAGAGGTATATAGCTATCTGGCCTGATCAGCGAGCGGTGATGTGGGTGGAGCTTATCTTTGGTCTGGTGGTCATCTACCGAGTGGTACGCCGTTTCTTCTATGATGATGAAGACCACGTTGATTTCGGTTCCAGTGGCTCCAATGCTCTCTTCGCCGTCGCCGAAAGGTATCATCTCTATTCTCTAATTAGTAATAACCCTCTGCCCTTTTTCAATTCATCACTTACCTTCAATTTCATCATCTTATGATTATAGCGATGGATATGAAAATGGTTAAATTGAAGTCATGGTTTACATTTAAACCCTTGTTAAACTCCACTCTGTGCAACCTATTTCTTGTGAACCAAAGCCGGTTGTTTAGCGGTATTTGGTGGGTCTGCCACTAATTCTTGTTTTTGTTCTTTGATTCCAATAAACATGAAGGTGATGGGTTAGAGTTATTGATGACAAAGGAACTAAAAACATATACAGTAAGTATAGAAGACCTAACATTCTAGGCATGAAGCATGGAGTACCATCGTTTGGTTCAAAAAGGACCCCATAGGGAAAAAGAAGAGCCCGCAGAATGCCTCAACAGCTAGGACCTTGTGGGCATACCTGCATGCAAATAAAAGGATACTGATCACAAGGTGTTCTGACATACTTCGTCTTCACTGTTATCTTTAACCAAACCCCTGATCTCAGCCTAAAGAGGCTCCAGAGTTTTATAAAACTTGTCGGAGTTGTCTTTGTGCTCCTTTAGCTAGAGCATCAGCGACTAACACGGTGGTAAACAAGGCAATCTGAAGGGATACAATAACAGCCAAATAACAAGCCTTTTACCCCAAATCGATGATATTTTACGGTGTAAATTTAGTTTCATTTACATAAGTATATGGTTGAAGGGAGGGATGCCTCATTGGTGCTGGTAGTCATCCATCAAAAGTGAGCAGCTTCCAGCTGTTGAGAGGCCATAGCTAATGAACATTGAATACCTCTTTACACAGTCTAACATCACAACATTGTTTGTTGTCATATGATTTCTGACAACTCCATCGGTACAAACCACCATTAACTAATGACCTATCAGAATTGATCTTACAGTAATTCAGATCATGGTGATTCCATTTATACTAACTGCCATTTCTAGCATTGGCAGGAGCAATAGGAGTATTGAAAGAAAAGGCTACAATGGTTATCAATGAAGTTAGAAGATCTAGTAGCTTGGAATCATAGTGATCTGTTTGACCTTATTTGTGGCATACTGGACATATATATTTCCATATAAATCAATATTTTTCTGAATGCACTTGTAAAGAATGTAACAGGGTAGGTTTATGCATGATTCCCATTTGATATTTTATCGAAGTCTTGTCAATAAGTTTGAAGAATTCCCAGATAATGTAGCCTTTCCCTCATAGCCAATGACCAGAAGACAGGAAAAATGAAAGAATCCATCTTAACAGACATCTGAGCATCAATGGGGTAGGTTGTTGCTCAGGTGTGGGATCAGCATGTAAGACAAAACGAAAGATCTGCAATAATTTTTAGAAAGCCTGTAATTATGAAGTGGTGGGAGATGTAGAAATGACGCCCATACCACACTGAAAAAGAGGGCCAGTCTGTTTATCAAAGTCATCATCCATTTGAAAAACTTGAAAGTAGATTTCCTGGAAACCATATTTCTTCTCGACCTGGAAGAATGAAATCTTCCTTAAAAACCATTTGAAGTACGACTTGTATACTGCCTAGGGTGACGTACTGGCCAGGACTTGAGACTGATTAAGAGTTGGCATTCTAGTCAGTTCCCTTTGCCAGTGGCTATCACCTTGAAAAAACACAACCTAAGAATGTTCATCAACAGTGTTTGTGGCGTCAATGGCTTCTTAAAGACAACACCACATACCTCATCTTTTTTCATGTTTTTGGTTTCTTGATTCCAACATAAGGTATGAGAGGCAGATTCCCGGGGGATATTATAAGTGCAGAAGGGACCTTCATTTTGGATGTTATTGTTACTTGTTAGCAACTCTTAAGATTATTCTTAACCCAAAAAAACTCTTGAGATTATTTCCCTAAGGAGGCATCTCCAATAAACAACTGTATTCAGAAGAAGACACGTTTCATAATACGGAATCAACATATTCAAAGGCAGTGAAGGAAAATCCTTTTAGCTAGATTGTAAGAATCTTACTTCTGTTACCGACGTGCAAAAAGAGCCATGGAGAACAATGAGAGAAGAGTGATGCGAAGAAGATGAATAGTCAGGAGAGGCAAAAGGTCTTGAAAAAATCCATTAAGAAATGATCGTCCATGAAAAATCATAGATTTGTGGCTTCAGCAACACACAAGCAAACAGTGAAACTAGAGAGTGAAAAAGCTAGTGAGAGAAATATGCACTTGTAACCCGTAATCATCAGTTTTGCTTATGTATACAAACTGCCTTGTAGGCTTCAAGCTCTGTATGGTGGCAAAGCTTATGTTGGGCTTCGAATTCCTGACCCTGATACTGCTTCTCGACAGAATATTGATTTGGTCCTCGTCACGAAAAAGTAACATACATATCTCCCTTTCACTCATATCTTTTGTGCTGGTTTTATTGTAATTCTTTTCTCCCTGAAAGAATATTAGACATAATAATATTAGCACCGTAAATGTGATTTTATTTCAGGGAGGCAGTGGTGGTTTCTGTGATAAATGCATCTGGAATTGCGTCTATAGACGGGGATGGTACTTGGGTCTGCACGGATGGTTCCAAGCACAAAACAGAACGTCTTCAGGATCCGGTGAAAGTTCTTGTCATTTTTCCCTTATATCAGATTGTTTTAAGCAGTTGCATCACCAGCACACTGCCACATTCCATCATGATGTCATCCCAAATATGTGGCTGCAATTTAGTCCGTACACGTGAATTAGTGTTGAGTTGCTATAGTCTATAATATATGTAATTCTCTCTAACTTTATTAATTCCCCTCTTATTTGAAGGATTTTTCAAAATGAGACTGCTACCTTACCAGTAAGCTTACTAGATCATTGTTGAAGATACAACTTGGTTGTAGTTTAACACACAAATATAATAAGATCACTCAAAGATAGTGGTAGACATAGTTAGGGACCAACACGAACACGGGTGAAAATACGACATGTATAATTGGTTTAGAAGCATTCCTAATAGAGAAAAAAAAGACCTGGTCCAGCCAAATGATTGTATGTTAAAATGTTATGTACGAGTATGATGGCTCGTTCCTAAAATGTCTTTGACCTTTTCATGAAGCTCATTCTACTTGGTAAAAACGAGATCAAATGCTAAGTGAAGGTAACCATGAAGAGCTAAAAACAAAATACTGTTGGGTTTTTAGGAGTTATTGTTGATAAATATTTATTTGGTTGTATTTAGAGGATTTTGAGGGATAATAACTCATACAAGAAATCTTGTCTATGAAGTTGTATATATCCCTGATTTTATGGGATCTAGGAGATATTCTAGGAACTATTATTTTTATACATATTATCCTCAACTATTCACAACTGATAAGAAAATCCATTCAATGAAGAAGTCTTCTTTTTTACATGGTATCGGAGTTATAGGCTCTTTCTTCGTCTTTCTTATGTGACTTTTTTTGGCCTTCCTGCCGAATTCCTCTTTCTGGTCACCCCTTTCTATGTTGGAACTAATCCATGCAGATAATCATGTCTGAAACCACTTAAAATAGCCAAATTACTCTTTCCTCAGGAAACGTTGCTGTCTCTTTAACCAGAGACTTCCCAAACATTCAGGCAGTCTTTCGCCTGAATAGAAATGATTGCTTAAAGTGGTCTCATTTCACACTTTTCTGATAGGAAATGGAAAATCAAGTGATTTGCTGGGAACTGGACCGGCCAAAAGGGGATCCTAAGTAATGAGGAATGAGATGGCTAGATTCCATGTGATACAAAATGAACAGATTGGGGGAAAAATGGGTAATCGGCTATTGGAAAAATAATCGATGGAACAGAAACTACAAGTAATTGGAACGAAGAAGAAAACTTACTATCTAAAAGGATCCCAGGGAGAGAGTCCCTTCTCTAAACGTAGAGCCAAGGCAAGGGTTATTATCTGCATGCCCCTCATGGAGGAAGGCATTAGCTTATTTAAACTATCATACGTAACAAACTCTTAGTGGGCCTTGGGCCTCCTGGAATATACTTTCCACACATTGGGCTTAAGTCCACTAGTTGGGTCAAGACTAGGACCATTCTCATTCGTAACATTGGTCACCCCGTCAAGAATGGTCTTGTCCTCAAGACCAATATCCGGAAATTGTTGTTGAATGACCAAAACATCTTCCCAAGTTGCTTCTTCACTCGGACGGTGCTGCCACTTGATGAGCCATTGCGGAACGGTTTCCCCGTCCCGAACGAGGGAGTGAGCACCCTGAATGGACTCCGGAAAACACTGATCAGCGACATCCACTTCAAGGTCAGCCGGTAATGAATCGACCTCGGTGACTCCAGGTACCGCCTTCTTCAATAACGAGACATGGAAAACCGGATGCACCTTGGATAAAGCTGGGAGGTACAACCGATAGGCCACGGGACAGATACGCTCCACAATTTCAAACGGTTCAAAAAACCTCACTGACAGTTTTTGATTGATGCGACTTGCTACCGACAATTGTCGATACGGCCGAAGCTTCGCATAAACCAAGTCACCAACCTGAAATTCAAGCTCTCGACGATGCTTATCGGCCTGCGATTTCATTTGTGATTGAGCTCGTAATAACTGTGCCCGAAGTTGTTTCAAGGCCTCATCACGGTCCTTCAGGCGGACCGTCTCGACCCGCACCTCACCCGGAATAAACTGACATATATTAGGAGGTTTGCGACCGTAAACAATCTCGAAGGGTGAAACCCCTGTAGAGCCATGAAAAGTAGAATTGTACCAGAATTCCGCCCACGGTATCCACAAGGACCACAAACGTGGTTGGTCAACCGCAAAACAACGTAAATACGACTCAAGACAGCGGTTAATGACCTCGGTTTGCCCATCTGACGCCGGATGATACGATGAACTCATGTGTAAACGAGTACCTTGCAAACGGAATAGTTCCCGCCAAAAATGACTCATAAAGAGTGGATCGCGATCACTGACAATTGATTTCGGAATACCATGTARGCGAACTACTTYCTTGACGAAGACATCCGCRATATGGCGCGCGGTATAGGGGTGTTTCAACGGCACAAAATGGCTGTACTTGGAGAGCCTGTCCACCACCACTAATAACGCATCAAAACCCTTCGATTTCGGTAGTCCAAGAATAAAATCCATGGACAAATGTTCCCAAATCGTTTCCGGAATATCTAGCGGTTGTAAMAGACCCGCTGGAGTAAGGGAGCTAGATTTGCAGCGTTGACAAATATCACAAGCTTGGACAAAACGCTGAACYGCCGAGCTCATACCGGGCCAATATAAATTGGCAGCCAAACGACRATAAGTTCGATAGTACCCGGAGTGACYGCCCGTAGCTGATTTGTGAAATTCAGCTAGTAATTCYGGAATCCATTTGGAATTCCGAGGGATAACCAAACGACCCTTATAGTAGAGAATTCCCGAACGCACTTCGTAACCTGGATGCGTTCCCTGCTGCTGTTGGCATGATTGTATCACCTTTTGGAGGTCCGGATCGGATTTGGCTTCCTCCAACAGCTGTGCTCCTTGAACCCAAACGGGTTGGTACGCTGTCGAAGTGAGCAATTCGCCATAATCGTCTCTCATGGACAGCGCATCGGCTGCCCGATTTTCCCGTCCTGCCTTAAAACAGATTTTAAAATGATACCCAAGCAATTTGGCAACCCAATTTTGCTGATCCGGAGTGGTAATACGTTGCTGTAAGAGATGCTTCAGACTTTAATGGTCGGTGTAGACCGTAAAAGTAGTGCCCAAAAGATAGCTCCGCCAATGTTGAACTGCCAATGCTAAGGCCATGATTTCTCGTTCGTACGCGGACTTTGACAGGTTATGATCTGTTAAAGCCTTACTGAAAAATGCAATCGGACGACGGTTTTGCATCAGGACAGCCCCAATTCCACGTCCGGAAGCGTCACATTCCACCACAAAAGGAGCCGAAAAGTCGGGCAACGCGAGGACAGGGGCTGTAGTAACTGCGTGTTTCAGGCTGTCAAATGACTTTTGGGTCTCCGCATTCCAATGAAAATTGTCCCGCTTTGTCAACTCCGTAAGCGGTTTGGCAATAGCTCCATAATTTCGAACGAATTTCCGATAGTAACCTGTTAATCCCAAAAACCCGCGTACGCCTTTCACTTGTTTGGGAACCGGCCAATCTTTCACCGCTTGAACTTTATTAGGATCCATTGATACGCCCTCGCCATCAATGATGTGTCCCAAATATTCAACCGAGCGTTGCCCAAATGAGCATTTCTTTCGGTTAACCACGAAGCGATGGGAAACCAACGTAGCCAACGTCGAAGCCAAATCTAATAGATGTTGTTCCCATGTCGGACTATACACTAAGATATCGTCGAAGAACACCACGATACACTTACGTARGTGTGGTCGAAAAACGTCRTTCATAATGGCTTGAAAGGTCGCCGGGGCGTTAGTGAGACCGAAAGGCATTACGAGATACTCGTAATGGCCATCATGCGTCCGAAACGCTGTTTTCTCCACACTTTCCGGCCGCATACGGATCTGGTTGTAACCGGACTTGAGGTCCAATTTGGAGAAATACTTGGTACCCTGAAGTTCATCRATCAACTCTTCTACTACTGGAATTGGGTGTTTATCCGGAATTGTGGCTTTGTTCAATGCTCTATAATCGACACACATACGCCAAGTTTGGTCCTTCTTCCGTACCAAAATTACCGGACTAGAAAAAGAGCTGTTGCTGGGTCGTATAACCCCCAAAGGGCAAAGTCAGCATCTCCTGAACTTGGCGCTCAATTTCAGCCTTGTGAGCGTGAGGATATCGATACGGCCTAACACAAACCGGCCCGTGGTTGGGAACRAGATTGATAGCATGATCTCGAGACCGAACCGGAGGTAACCCCGACAGTTCTTCAAACACTGGAGCAAACCTGTCAAAGATTTTCAACAGCTCCTGCGATTGTAATGRTGTTAAAGTCGGCTCCAATACTCCCATTTGCTCTCCATCAGTTAATCGTAACGAGGGATTAGAGTCCGATAACCAGCTTTGTAGTGAAGCCCGTGCTCGCACCGGAAGCGATGTCCCCGATAAGCAGACCTCCTTA